ACAAAATAAAAGATTAATAAGTTTAATATTCAAAAGTAGAATTCTTCCTATGCCAGAAAAAGTCTCAAAATTACAATAAATTGCACAATCGATTAAAAAAAGCAACTATTTTAAATCAGGAAGAAAAATTCATCCTCTCAAATAGAAAGACATGGCAAAGGACAGGAAGAGACAATTCACAGAACAGTTAAAAGCAGTGGTATGCTGGAGCTGGCTGGCACCAGCTCATGATGGCCAGTTCCCTACTCCCCCCCAGTCAGTGATGTCACATCAATAGCTCAAAATTGGCCATTGTGGGAGTTTTAACAGCAGCAAAATCAACTGTAAATCAGGGCTCTTTTCTTTTTCTTTTTTTTTAAGAGCCAGTTTATCAGCACACCACTGGCTAATAGATATGAAAAGGTAGTTCAAGTGTACCAGTAATCAAAGAAATACAAAAAGAAATGAGGTCTGGATGAGATGGAATAAGCCCATTTCACCCTATTCCCCTTTCTAATTATAACAAAAACATCTGGACAAAATTCATAATAAAGCAACTGACGAAGATTCTGAAAGTTGGAGAAACAGTAGACTGGCCGGGACCTCAGGACTCGAGGAACTCTCCAGTGGTGAGTTCTTGTGGGTGTGTTTCCTTTTACATATATTGGCCTGGGCTCTGGAGAGGCCCACAACTTGGAAATAACTAATGGCATCAGACAAAAAGTCCCAAGAAAAGCCTGCTATTTGTAGCCAAAAGCCTGGGAAAAGGGTGGTCCAGAAAGACAATGAATTTTTGACCATACCTGACCTTACTCCAGCTCCACACCAGGAAAAAGCCATACTCCCCCCCACCTTCCTCGCTGGGTATCATGGCCTGGAAATTGAAAGATCCCAGCTTCCCATCCCTTTCTGCAATAACAGACCATGTCCCTTTCCTGGAACAGAAACTGTGGGCAGAACNCCATCCCTTTCTGCAATAACAGACCATGTCCCTTTCCTGGAACAGAAACTGTGGGCAGAACTTCTAGTGGATTTCTTATTACCATGGAGTCCAGAAGTAAAACAACATTTCTCAAGTGCCAAAGAAGAAAACGGTCAACTCAGAATTCTATATCCAGCAAAAAACATCATTTAGGAATAAAGGTGAAATAGAGACATTATCAGATGAAGAAAAACTAAGAGAATTTGTCACCAATAGACTTGCTTTAAAAGAATAGCTAAAAAAAGTTTTCAGAAGGGAAATAATAAATTTGGAACATCAGGAGTAAAGAAAACAGAAAAGGTAAATATAGTAGACTCTTAAGTTTCAAAAATTGTGTTCTCAGTGTACGTAATAATTAAGACATCTGTGTTATAAAGGGAGGAGGATAAAGGACACTAACAGGTAGTAAAGTTTCCACATTCTACCTGAAGTGATAAATACTGATACTAGTAGACTGTGATAAAATAGTAATAATTAAGACATCTGTGTTATAAAGGGAGGAGGATAAAGGACACTAACAGGTGGTAAAGTTTCCACATTCTACCTGAAGTGATAAATACTGATACTAGTAGACTGTGATAAAATACGTGGAAACGTACTCTTTAGAGTAGTGGCTTTCAATCGGGTAATTTTGCCCCTCAGGGAACATTTGGCAATGTTTAGAGACATGATTACATCTGTTACTGCATCTAGTTGGTGCAGGCCAGGGATATTGCCAAATGTCTGATGGGAAAGTCTCACCAGCCCAAAATGCCAAAATGCTGAGGTTGAGAAACCTATTAAAGTACAGTGACTGGCAGAATAAACAAGAAATTATATGACCCGATTATATGCTGTCTGTAAGAAACTATTTTCAAATATAATACCATAGGTAGGTTAAAAGTAAAAGGATAAAAAAATACCTTGTAAACACTAATCAAAGAAAAACTGGAATAGATATATTAATATCAGATACAGTAGACTTTAGAACAAAGATTACCAGAGCTAAAGCGGGACATTACATAATGATAAAAGGGCCAATTCACCAACAAGACAACAATCCTAATTGTGTGTATCGCAAACAACAGAGCTTCAATGTACATGAAGCAAAAACTAATGAGCTGAAAGGAGACACAATTATAGTTGCAAACTTCAATACCCCCTCTCAGTAACTGGTAGAGCTACTAGACAGAAAAAAAAATTTGCAATGTTTTCATTTATTAAATTGGCAAAGCTTTGAAATGTTATAGTGCTAGCAAAGTCATGGTGAGAAAGATGATGTTGAAACATAAAATTTGTCAAAAAATATTTAATTTATATAATATTAGGCTTAAAATGGCCATACCATTTTTCAATATTTTAGGAAACTCTCCTAAGGGAAAAACTATAATAGCAAAAATGTAGAGACATGCACACATGCCCTCTAATTGGCTAGTACTTAAAAAATTATTCACTTTTCAAGTATAGTGCTATTGTTAAGATAGTAGTTTTTAGAATGTTTTAATGCCATGGTAAATAAGAATGATTTTAAGGCAAAAAAGTAGTATATAAAGCTATATACATAGAAAATATAATAATGATAGTAGTGAAAAATTACCAGGGGTGAACTTTTTTGTTATTTACTTCTCTCCCCCTGTCCCCCCAAGTTTCCTGTTGTGAAATGTCACATTCGTGGTCATAATGAACAGAAATGGTTACTTCCAAAAACAGCATAAATCTGGGATGATATATGCAAAGTATCCCAAACAAAAAAACAGTGCTAAGTCTAGTATAGAGAAACTCAATAGGAGATAAAATTCTCATAATTTAAAAAATATGTAATGGTAAAGTATAACCATTGTTATTCTTACGCTGACCATCTGTCTTGGATTGCCCATCTTTATTATCAAGAGGGCCCCTTGCCACTCTCAAAATTGTCATGGTTTAGATGATAAGTTGCATGAGCACTCTAGCTATTCTGAATATTTTAAAAAAATTACTAACAGTAAATTGAGATGTATTTCATCTTTCCTATATGCCAGATACCATACTAACTGCTTTCTGTAGATTATTTCATTTAAGTGAGTAGCTAAATTATCTACATTTTATAGCAGCACCAAGGAGTTAAACAACTTGTCCAAATTCACACACCAGCTGTGAACTCCATCCCGTCAAGTGAGCACCGAAGGCATACCTGGGCCTGCCTAAGCACAGGGTTGGCGGGCAGGGGCCTGGCGGGGACACTGGGTGCACGCGGAGGCTGGTGGAGGGGCGGGAGCACTCGCTGAGGGGGCTGGGAGACATCGAGGGCTTGGAGGGGTCTGCTGATGTCAACGTTCAGACACTGTGGCACTCTCCTGGGATTGTCCTGCACGGTCAAAGCAAAAAGCCATGCCATGATGAGTTTAAAATGTCAATTATTACTTAAGAAAAACCTGACTTGTCTACTATAGCTGAAGATGGGGTTGGGTAAAGGAAAGAAATCAAGGATGTACATTAGAAGGAATCTATTAATAACAGAATTTATTGAGGTCTAATGAACTAATTGCACATATTTAAAGTGTACAATTTGGCATTTCTGACCTCCGTTTACATCTGTAAAACCATCACAACAAGCAAGACAATGTATATATCCATCACCCCATGGAGATTCCTTCCACCCTGCCCCTCTCCACCTCCACTACTGATCCACTTCTGTCTCTATCAATTAGTTTGGATTCCTTAGAGTTGTATATAAACTATATATCCATCACCCCATGGAGATTCCTTCCACCCTGCCCCTCTCCACCCCCACTACTGATCCACTTCTGTCTCTATCAATTAGTTTGGATTCCTTAGAGTTGTATATAAACGCGATCATAGAGAACTCTACTCTTTCTCTTTTTGGCTTCTCTCAGAATAATTATTTTGAGATTCATCCATGATGTTGGCGGTTCATTCCTTCGGATTGCTGTCATTCCATTGTGTAAATAGACCACAAGTTGTTTATTCTCCTACCTGTTGATGGACATTTGGATCATTTCCAGTTGGGGCTCTTAAAAATAAAGCTGTGCTTTTGGCTCTGACAAATGAAGCTGTTCTTGCTTACGGTCCCCCGTCTGGGGGTGGAAGGAGGGAAAGCTTGCCTGGAATAGTAGCCGCCGCCTCCACTTTTTGGATCAAAGGACATTGAACGGTTTATTGCCTACTGAACATGTGATATTTTTTTTCAATCATTTCTTGACACCCATCTTCTTCACTGTTATAATTTGGACTGTTTCACTGAATGAGTTTAATATTCAAGAATTCTTGTGGCTACATCAAATAAACTTGGTGGGAAAAACTAACCACTGGAGTGAACTCAGTGATAATTCGCCAGGGCAGCAGGAAAGTTAAGAGGCATGGGGGGCCTCCAGGTGCCCTGGGTGAAGGACCCAGCTCCGTGAAACCAGAGGGCAGACAGGGCTTCCACGGCTGAGGGCTCACAGTCACTTTTACAAACACTTTGGGCCAAATAAGTTCACCCAAACCCAGCTGGTGGCATTTGGAAATGACAGGAAGGACCCAGTGTCAGGAGCCTGCTTGGGCGGCAGGAACGATTGTGGCTCAGAACATAGCACATGTCACATCAACACAGGGGACACGACTGCACCAACAGGACCTAGCAGGGCTGCCATGGGGCCACTGCGGAGCCTCCTCTCAGGCCCTGACCTTCCCAGGAGGGCTCTCGAGGTCCCTGTTCCTCTCAGCCTGGTGCTGTAACACTCACATCTTCATGCACATGAGTTGTCACGTTTGCTCAGCACTCACCTTAGGCGCGTTGGAATGTGGCGGCTTCCTCATCAGGCCGTTGCTGAGGTGGGTGAGATGAGCCTGGCCAGCGGGGGAGCCACTGCACGGCGGGGAAGGGCGGACACACCTGCAGCGCAATCCCGCGACAGTGACCTAGGTGCTCTCCCTTCTCATTGACTGAGCTTTTATACTTTGTTCATAGTAGCACTCAAATAATAATTTAGCTCTGTGTAAATATGCGAAGGAAAAATTATCTAACACTCTTACGAGATTAGAAAAATAAAGACTGATTTTTTTTTCCCCCTAAAGCCACTATTCTGTCTAATTAGATCTCGTCATCTACAGAAATGCAGCTTTGTGACACCCGGGAGATACTTTGTATGAAGCTGGCATTTCAGCAGTAATGTCTGAATATATTTGAATGAAAAGCTACCCCAAGTGATGAAAATATTTCAATGTCTCCACGTCCTGTAAAAATTACTAATGGAAGGGTGGGGGAAAGACAGTGGCATTCTTCAACACCCACTTATTTATGTAATGAGCAGCGGATAGTTTGAAGGGAAAGTAAAGGAGGCAGCTGGTCTGGTAGAAATTTAAAGAGAAAACAAAAACCAGTCCCACTATCCAGAACATCTCACCTTTCCTTTGCTAAGGAAAACCAAGTGAGAAGCCATGTGCTGTACGTTCTTTCAACCATTTCTTGAGAAGATGACGCCCCCAACCCCGGTACCTTAGCTTTTCAATGGTGGTTTTTTTATTTGTAAACAGCAGTCGTATCCAGGTCTTCTTTTTGAGATAAACCACAAAACCAGCAGCAAGAAGGCACAGGATGGTCATCAGAATTCCCAGCGTTAAGCCCTGGTTATCTGAAACAAAACACATTTGACTCATGGAAGGAAGCAGTCATCGTGAAATACAGGGGGTATCAAATTGTCACATTTATGGAAAAGGAACTTTGAAGGAAGAAACAGAGATGAAGGGTGTAAATCCCCAGATGACGGACTAATAAGTGAGCGCGACTTCACGGGTGGTGTCTGAGCTTCAATCTACGCGGCCATCGTTCATTTCTGACAACTCTGGAACTTGCTAGGCAGGAATATAGGCTGGTGGGTGGGACCATGGCCTGGATCACAAAGGCTCCCCCAGCATGACAACAGCAGAGAGGACCGCAGCAGCCACAGAAGGTGACAGCCATCATCAAAATCTCATCAGGATTAAAGTACAAAAACTGAAATCTGTCCAGCTCTCATCACAAATATGCTACTTCCAACACTCCTTTCTTCTCTCATCCTTTAGAGCTGGAGTCAACTTTGCTTTTTTTTGTTTTTTTTTTAAGAATGAGACTCTTTATTTCTGGACATCTCA